GCCGGTTCCTGTGGCCTGACCAAACCCAGAGGAAATGCCACCAACGCCATGCCCTGCACCAGTTGAAATACCACCTCCAACTCCATGTCCACTTCCAGCACCAATTCCAGCTCCTACTCCGTGTCCACCGCTGACTCCAACAGAAAATCCGCTTCCCGTTGCTTGTCCAGGGCCAGTAGATAGTGTAGAACCAGCTGGTCTTTGCAGACTGTATCCCTGGAGAGCTGCACTCGTTGTTGCAACGAGCGCACAAGTCAAAACCTACGGTAAGGATCATAATGATATGAAAGTAACTTAACATTAGATATATATAGCGATAAATTGATAAATGAACAAATAGAAAGATAGATGGAGAGGCTGAAACAAATATTTTCATTTTTAAAATTATTATTACTGTTACTGATGCCTCTTAGATATAATTTCAATCAGATAATATTAAGCATTGTATTACTACGACACAAAATGAAATATAACTTCTGGTTCTCGAGTTGTAATGTTCTGCACTCACGAGAAACTTCATGTTGGGAGACTGTACGGCGAGGTAAGTTACTTTGCCTTATATACTCGTTCGCCAGCAATGGTGACCTTGCTTATTTCCCTTCGGTTAGCGGAATTTCTTTGCAACACAGATTTGTTAAAATTACTTGAAGGAATACATATATTGCTGATGTAATCCTAAAATAATGTTTTGGTGGAATAGCTTCTACATATATGATACACACACATACACACAGGCACACACACACACGCACATATATATACACACATATATTTATCAGTGTTTATGAATAGATAGATTGTTCTTAAACAATACATATGCATAAAGAACACAATATACATATACACAGAGTTTATATATTTATATATATATATATATATATATATGATATGTGTGTGTGTGCGTGTGTGTATGTGTGTGTGTGCGTATGTGTGTGTTTGTGTGTTTGTGTGTGTGTCTGTTCAGACAGGTATGTAAATGATGTAATATATATATATATATATATATATATATATATATTTGTGTGTGTATGCACTCAAACACACGCACGCATACTTTAATATATATATATATATATATATATATATATATATATATATATATATATATGTATATATGTATATATATATATATATATATATATATATATGTATGTATATATATGTATATATATATACATATATATAAATGCATATATATTATATAATATATATATATATATATACATATATAAATGCATATATATCATATATGTAATATATATATATATATATATATATATATATATATATATATATATATATATATATATATATATGTATATTAAAGTATGCGTGCGTGTGTTTGAGTGCACACACACACATATATATATACATATATATATATATATATATATATATATATATATATATATATATATTTATATGTGTGTGTATATATATACATATATATAAAATATGTATATATACTTATACACGCACACACATACAGAATCACACACACAGAAACACACAGACACACACACACACACACACACACACACATATATATATATATATATATATATATATATATATATACATATATATCTATTTCTTTTCTTTCTTTCTTTCTTTTTTCTTTTATATTTCTCACTTTTCGTGCGCATGAATCATTTAAATAATCCGTTAGGAGCTTGATTTCATTTTCCTACGATTCTAAGATCCAATACATGAGTTGCAAGCAATAAAAGAAAGTACGTTATCTTCTATTTCTTGCGTGTTTTCTCTCTCCTATCTTCTCCCTCCATTATGTCTACTAAAGGATTTTGTCTCATAAATTATTTTTCTTTGGCCAAAAGCCATAGATACTAACCTTGCACAGAGTTTGGAATATTACCGGAAACAGTGAAAGAGGGATGTCAAGAAACACCTTTTGCAGGCTGCGATGAAGTTTGTTGCTAAGTTTATTTTGTAATAAAAAGAGAATGAAATCAGAGTTTTATTATTATCCTGTGTGTGTGTGTGTGTGCGTTTGTGTGTGTCTGTATAAATGTGTATATATATATATATGTGTGTGTGTGTGTGTGTATGAATATATATATACATGCATACTCATATCTAAATATGTTTATATATATATATATATATATATATATATACTATAATATGTATATAAATATTTATATATACATATTGCTCTTTATCTGCCAATCAATATATATATATATATATATATATATATGTATATATGTATATATGTATATGTATATATATATATATATATATATATACATAAACACCCTATGCCTCAACATAGAGAACAAGGTCAATTATGTCGAAGACCTTACAGTCGCCAACATTATCATTGTAGAAAATTAAATCACTTTCTGTACACATGAAAAACTTGCCACTCTTGACGGTGAATGTGACCGATTGAAGCCTAATTTGAAGTGATGCATCTATGCCTCCTATAGTGGTCTCTCACATAGCGAGACGTACGCTTAGATGACACTTTGCTTCC